TTGCGAGTTGTGCCAAAAGAAATGCAAGACTAAGGCTGGATTAAAAAGACATAAGACAGTAAAGCATAAGGAGGAACAAGCGCGGGGAAATTAACCGACTCAAGAAGCCAAATTCACTGCTGAAGACTTCGAAGCGTTATCAATGAAAGCACGAGATAAAATAATTGAAAGAAAAATCTACCCTCAAAGCGTAAGAGAAGAGCTACGAAGATAAACGATTGCCTGGGATCAAGAAAATATGGACTTCTCAGAAGTAGAATCCATGTATATGCGTTTGGTTAAAACTGGAAATGCAGAACAATTCTACTCGAAGTACTATTCAAGAATAGGCCTCAATTCAACAAAGATTTTTGTGGGGTTGTCAAGTAATGCGGCAATATTGCTTAGTACCAAAGTGGCTGAGTGTCTGATAGCTCACAGCAAACAGAAAGGTGAATCACCAAATCCCAATACCCCCACTACACTGTGTGATAGAGAAATGGCAGGGTTACAATATATTGGAGGGTATGTACTGCACAAGCTTTATAGCAAGGTGAACAATGTTTACAGTCCCACAGCACATACTGAACAAACAGCTTCAATACTGAAAGCTGGCAAAGCAAAGATTTTCATGTTGCAGAGAGTCAAAACTAATTTCATCTTTAAACCGAGGTGGACTTTGGGCTTTTTCTAAACAAGCTCAAACAATTTTTAAGAGAATAGAACATAATTTTAGGATTCTGAGCTCAGGAAGTCTCCAGCTGAAGATTGACAATGCTAAGATAGAAACCAAATCAGCTTGTGATGTTCATTTGGTCTCAGCGTATAACACCATGTTATTGGACTCAGATATAGTGGTAGATAACAGCATTGCAAAAGATTATTGGACAGCATTATTCATTTATATGTTACTGTACGGTGTTTTTGACTGGCCAAAGATGTTCTACAGAAACATAAAATTCAATGTAGACAAATGAAGACAAAAGAACTTCGAAAGGAAATTTGTAGAGCCAGCAAGGAACAAGAAAGGCAGATATATTTAGAATTAAGGGCTTGCAACAATTTGTCAATAACTAATTTATTACAAGAGATGAATTTGGTAACTACAACCTGCAATATATTAAATATTGCTCATTAATGATTATTTTATAGACAAAAATTAGTATAAAGGCTATATGGTTAAAGTATCTAACATAGAGTAACTTGTTTATTTTCAGCATTTCTAGTCATACTTAATGTTGACTTTCTTACCTAACATGCTACTGTATATACATTCATTTATTAAAGCTAAAACCTCTGGAAGCTAGTTTCTTAGAACATGCTAATACAATGTTATCATATGTATTTGAATGTGAACTTAAATAGAAACGAATCTCTTTTTGGGCCTACTACTTGTCTTTTTTCCTTTTTTTCTTTGGGACAGGATCATTTGAAATGTTAACCCATGCCTTGTCTCTATCTCTTCTTCCTCTTGTGTTACCTGATTGGCAGGACACTGCACGTTGGACCATGATGGTATTGTTATTGTACCCAAATGTTCTCATGTCAGGATTGTCACTTCTTCGTCCCAACTTTCTTTGGTTGCCAAAGTACTCTTCGACAGAATCCTGGCAAAATCTCTCTGTAAGTACATATTCCATACCTTCTCCCAGGAGGAAGTTTGTTGCTTCTACAGCAGAGAGAAAGAAGATGTTTTTGTTAAGTTGCCTACAGGATCCGGGAAATCGTTAATATATCAAGCACTCCCGCTCGTGTTTGACCATGTTACCGATGAAAGTGGTCATATTATTGTTATTGTTGTTGCGTTGTACCAACGTGCGGAAACACTCGATAATGCGGGCCGATTTCCTTTACCGGTGATAAGAAGCCACGGACATAACTATTCGGGTTCGCTCCAGCTAGCAGCGGACTGGCAAATGAAGGAGTACAAGTAGTGTAGCAGACGTTGGCCGGCCTAAATTGCAGTGTTCTCGAAGCTTCGCCCAGGTTTGTTGACGGCAAGCACGCGCTTTTTTCCTCCTGATCTCCATCTGTAGGTCGAAGCAAGCGTTTAGCCCTTGGCCTAGATTGAAAGGCGTCTTGTATTTGTTTGATTATTGATGTAATTTACTGTTTCTTATATATTCTGACTTTTATAATCTGTAGTAACCTCTTGAAATAGTGCGAATAAAAAGTTTCAGTTCAGTTTTAGCTTCTACTTTCTCAGTTGTTCGCTGAAACTTTAACAACCGCTCAAACAATCTAGCGTTCGTGACGTTGGCGTAGCAGTTGACGTCTATGTTAAGCGTAGATTCTATAATTTCAACGAAATTGTGAGAAGTTTTCCCAAAAATATATACTCTATCTTTACCAGGGCACAACGATGAATATGTGAAACATGTCGAGCTCTCATTGACAAATTTCTTCGGTGTTTCTCCCAACATCCACATTTTCGCGTGAATCTTACGTCATTCAGAATTTCTGGTATGTGATTGGTCTGTTCAATAGACCGCGACCAAACCGCAAGGACAATGAGAAAGGAATGTAGTTCGGTTGTCAGCAGCCGTTCTTTTGGGGGAGCTTTGCGTGACATCCAAAAAAACGGCGGCGAGGGAGACTAAGTCTTTCCTGGATACAGTTTTTTCTGCCTTCGATGGGAAGAGAGGATGACCCGTCCTGCCCTCCTCGAGACATTCATGACAAAAATCTGTTCACAGCCCTCTTCGCGTAGGGATGGATTTTTGCCTGTTAAATATATTTAACGAAGGAAAAGTGTATCGAGCCCATTTATTTGAGGAAATATATTATTGAAGCTAGAGCCATTTTTTCTCACCCACTAATTTATTCTTGACTTCGTGCCTGCTAAGGGGATCGCGGTAGTCGCAAGCACGCCGATATAGCTTTAAATGAATAAACTAAACTGAGAAATTAAAGATTAGACTGAGAAGAAACGTTCTTGTGTAGAAAAGGGTTAACCAGTCAGAGTGCCGCTGTTTAGACTAATTACACCTTTTTTTTTTGTCTCGTCTTGTATTGTTGTATAAGTTCAGGACTGCTAAAAAGCGAATGAAAAATTAACAGCGATCATTTTTGTTCTCTCTAGTTTAGCCATGCTGATAACATAGATTTTGCTGGTTCTTTTGACTGTGGAATTGTTGGTCACAGGTAACTATGCATATGAGCCATTAGTGTACTGTTGTTGTTTTTCGATTGTTTTAGTCGTCTCTAAGACTTAGACAATCGTGACGATTTGTTTGCAGCCCGAATTAGCTCCATCCAAACGACTTATATCATTTGATTAGGAACTCTACATTCTGCGCTGCGCTACTGAAATTAAAGAAAGAGTTTCCCAAATATTCTAGCGCCAGCCTGTTTGCGTATTTACATTTGTTTAAATTTGCATGTCAAGGCTCTTTGCCTTAGTTGTACAGTTAATACATTACAAGTAAATTTCGACCCCAGCATAACCTCCAGATGGATCTTTAATTAGCTAGCTCATATCGCCTAACTGTACGTATAATCAACGATCTCACGTTTCACTTTAGGCTTTGGCACCGACGAGGAAATAAAACAGATGTACCGCTTATTTCTGGAAGATGGTAAGCTGAAATATCAATAAATCACTTCTTTTAAGTCATTTCATTATTCGGATTTCCAAATAGGCTCCAGCGTCACTACATACGGACGGTCTTTCTTTCTAAATCGATTTGTATGTTTTTTGTTTTAGAAAATCCTATAGATACAGCGGTAGAAGAATGCGAGGTAACTTACGAAAAAGTCGGATGCTTTTCTGACAAACTAAATAACGGAGCGCTTCCAGATTTCATCCTCGGTGATCGAGACAAACTAAAATGGCAACCTGAGGAATGGAAGAAATTTTTAAAGAGGTAACAATTTGAGTGACTCGCATGGATCAGATATGATAAATAGAGGATATTACATGGCCGCGCGGGGATACGAATTTTATCTTCTCGTGGTGAAAGTATATCTCACGAGTGAGCGCAGCGAACGAGTGAGAGATACTTTCAGCACGAGAAGATAAAATTCTTATCCCCAAGCGGCCATGTAATGTTCTGTTTATTATATAGATACTGGTGAAATTTTCACATAAAAGACAACTATTTTTATTCATTTTCGAAACAGCAATTGGGTAATTATCTTGGTAACCATGGCCACACCAATATCCTCACATGTGAAAGATAAAAATAGTATATTCACTGCGCACGGTGAGGATATGATTTTTTAGTAAAAGGAGAAATGCAGTAAATGGTTTGAACCTGGGGGTAACATGTGAAGGTGTAGTCTGATCGTCCGGGTGAGTGTAGTCCTGAGAAGGACTGTTGTCGGTGGCAGTGACTGACGTTTCGACAACCTGTGCGGAAGTCATCATCAGAGTCAAGTGAATGATTGTTGTCATAAAAATACGAAAAGTGTCTCGGTTTTGAATGCAAGAATGCCAAGACGACGACCTTAGTGAATGTGTCGGGGAAAAATTGACTAACTACGTCTTCCGCGTTGTAGAAGGTAATAAAAACAACAACAAAAACATCGAAAAAGATATGAATATCAAAGCGATCTTCGCAGTAATGAGCACTACTTGAGCAGTTGTGAAAATAAGGCCTGAAGAAGATTCAAGCATTTGAAAGAGCACTTCACACCGGACGGGATATTCGGGGATAAAAATTTTACAAATGCTGAAAAATCCTTTCAACAGTCCTCCCCTTTGTGAAAAATGTGAGACACACCGTACGAAACTATCGTTAAATCTAAGGGATAACCAAAGTACAACAAAAGGAGAAAGAAAATTGACAGATAATTTTCAGGGAAGGGACGATGATTAAAAAATATCGGGTAAAGTATTACAATAGGATCGCGACATGGACACTCTACAGGAAAACCATAGACCAAAGTATTATCTCAACTTTCCAGATTTATAACGCAAATAACAATCCCCTTTAGCCATTTGGAGAACCTTCCGTGCTACTTTGAGAACTATGATCGCCTATCACCTGGCGATTCTAGCGCGCGAAATGGGAGAAGCAATGAGCATGGTCAGCAGACATCTCAAAAAGTAAAAGAAGATGGCGATTCTGCTTCATATAACAATTGGGATGAGAATGCTTATCAATATTTTGATGTAACTTTTGCTCATAAGTACCTGGTAACCAAGTCAATGGATGTTTAATAAACTTTTAATTTTTTTTGCTTTTCAAGGCGGAAGCGGAGGTGGATTACGTGAAGCATAAAGAAGGATTAATCCACTTTTGCCTTAGACGGCAGCTTCAGTTCAAATGAATCTCAAATAAAATGCAAATTAAATAAAAGGCCTTCTATTCTCCATACATGTCATGAAATATTTCTCCAACACTAAAAGACACAAATTTGGGATTTTTAGGGCTAGTTTATTAGCTTCGCCGACCGGCAGGGACACCGCAACAGCTTGCGCCAATTACTGCGGGCCCAGTAAACCCACCCATCCCACCCCAGGGGAGGACATCCATCGCACAGTAATCTCGTGCGTGGGAAATTAACGTCTCCTACCCCCAAGCCTGCAGGAGACGGGAACTCTATTTATTCGGTCGCGGCTAAAAGGGATGACTCCAAAGGACCTCATTAAATATTCTAGAAAACATATTTGTAGCGAAAATCCCAAAAAATGTAAATCAAAGAAAACATAATATTCTATAGAATATTTAATAAGGTCCTTTTGAGTCATCCCTTTTAACCGCGACCCATTTATTCGTCCCTATCCAAGAAGACTAGAATATCTAACCATTCCTTGATGCTATAGAAAGGTAGCAAATTATTCTCAAGATCTTGAGTGTTGGTACGGCCGGCGCTCGAACCCTCGACCTCCCGCACAACAGTCCAGCGAACTATCCATTGGGCTAACTGGGCGGCTGAAACCATACAACATAGAATTGCCCTCGCAAAATTTTCTTTCACGTGGTCTTTTCACAAATCACCTCATTACCATCAAGTTCAACAAACTTAACAAGAGCTCACGACTTATACTCCGTAGAAAATCGTCATATAAGGGTTTACTTGTGATTGGTAACTACACAAAGGGATATTTGGGGAGATTTTTAGAAGGGGTATGCGCTTAGTTTGACATCCGATGACACCCCCTCCCTTCCAAGTTTTAAAATGCTCCGCTGCCTTTCCAAGTCTAAAACTAAGACTTTCCTTTCCTATCCTGATATCAGCGAAATGCTCCTATAAAGGGTCACATTATGTTCTTTTTAATCGTAACTTATTTGCAAAATTTGCACAACTGTTTCAACAACATGAAAAGAACTAGTATACCCGACACTTCGAAATAGCAGAGGGATCTGCCTTTATTAAATTGTCAATCATTGTGTCAATTTTAATCAACGGATTTTCCTCGATGAGATAATTTGTGCCATTAAAAAAATAAAAATCCACGAGAATTAATTATCAGTCAGGTGAAATTTGCAATGAGGCAATTGTAAATGCCTGGAAGTAAGTTTACGTTTTTCACTGATCGTGAAAATTTGAACACCAAAACAGGAGAACATAGTCCATTGCTTTGAATACAATTCAAATTTCATTAACTTAAAAACAAGTGTAATTTTACCGATAATTGATTAGTTTGAGAAAAGGAACAAAATGTGTCTTTTTAAGCTAACACAGCCGGAAATTTAAAACGTAAGTGTCAGTTTTCTCCCATCATTTTCACCTTTTTCCTAACAGCTTTCGTGATATCTATGGTTTGCGCTACACTTTGATAAGGTAATCCTGTTCCCATCTATTCCAAAATATATTCAGTTCCATCCCCGAACAAGGTATTATATATTATTTTGATATCTTCAAACCGTAAGTATGTTTATTATTTTCACTTCACTATTTTTTAAGGTGCAATTTTATTAACCTTATTGTTAGGACGAATTTGTGTTTCAGAACCAGAAGACAAAATTTTCCCGCGTAAAAAAGTCAGCAACTTTCACGGGTCTCTTTATATACCAAAACGATCGCCGACCTTTCGCCAAGAGCGAAAGGTGTTATTTAAAATTAACATTCAAGTCGTGTTTGGACGTGTGTCTACCTCAGAACTGACATACCAGAAAACCACTCAACCCTTTTTAAGAGCAGAAGCTAGCTTAAAAATGTATTGCACAGAATTACACCCAACTACATCTACGGATAGCCTACGGAACAGTCGTTAATCTTCGATGATTTAAGTCAAGCCAGGGAACGTGGCAAATGGGCAAGAAAAAATATGTTCTCGGAAATGAAACAGTGTGTAAATCACAAAATCTTAAATGTATTGGCACACTTTTGTTTCTTGTTCAGCTGAGGTGCTGCGCCACACTAGGGACATATTCTGTTCATCGGTTCTTAAACTAACTCCTATTGAAGGGCCTGAGGTGACCGCCGAGGCTGTTCCGCCAAGATCTGGAGTAAGCTTTGTCCGTGCTGGTGTTCCACGTGAAGTATTCTTGTATATCTAGCTTTTCATTAGCTTTCACGTGATTTTCTTTCTTTCAGAACACCTATTATGAAGCTTCCTTTGACAAATCCCTATCTGATTTTATTACTATTGGTTAGGGTATATGGATTTATCATAGAAGGTAATGAAAATGTTTGGTGTCTAACGTTCGTTTTCTGCGCGCAACAGACTCAGAGCTAATCGAAAAGTATAAGGGCTCGGTCATTTTCTCAAACGTGGAATCTAAACAAGCGGAAAATCATTTTTCCGTGCGTTTCTCAATTTTCAGTCGGCTGAACTCTTTTCATGCGACGCATTTCACTTGAAACTGCTGACTTATCGCTCTTTCCAAGATGCACCACAACAAATAGACACTTTGTCCACAAGTCAAAAGAAAATGCCATCTTACTCGCCCCAGTCTATTGATTTTGACTTTTAGCATTCTGGGTATCCCCAGAGGGGAAACCGAAAACACTAGTGTTTTAGGCACGGGGATACCCAAAACTCGGGGATACCCAAAACATTGTGACATCGCAAGTATAAATGATTAATTTTGTCTGGATCTGTCGAAGAGAAAGCCAGATCTACAAGTAGATCGATTTGGCATGCATGGTTACTGAACATTTGCCCTAGATTCAGATCAACACGTTCCTTTGGGAGGACTGAAACCTGGCTGTGAAGTGAAATTTGAGAAAGTTGGATGCTTTAAAGACAACGTCAGTACCAGGGCTCTTCCTGAATTAATCTTCGATCAAAGAGGCGATATCATTTGGAAGCTCGATAAATGGGAAGATTATTTGAAACAGTAAGTTTTCGCAAGACTAGAAAACCATTTTAGAGAATTACACAACGAAGATCCATTCTCTTATAAGAAAAAATGAAAATGGCTGAAGTAGCAATATGAAGCAACATTTTACCATTGGAAAGGTCCTCTTAATTTTCGTCTTTTGATTTGTAAATTTTAGGTGCAGTAGTATTGTTTTACGGTCACCGTGTCCCAAAATCGACCAACTCACTCAGCTAAACACTGATTTAAACACTTAATGCTTGGAGAAGCAAACTGACACCCTTCTTTGATAAACAGAGAGGGGAGGGAGGTGAAGAGGTAGTTGTGTTTGGAACTCATGCTAAATATCAAGAATAATGCTAGCCAGACTGTCTGCGGAGTTTTAAAATCTTCTCGAGCTAACTTAATTATAGAAAGGAACATTCTCGTTTCGTGATTAGATTTGTTAATTCAACTTTAGGCTGGCTTGCAAATGTGCGAGGAGAACAGATGACAGAGGTTACAGCCACTTTGGTCTTCAGTTCTATGCAGAATGCTGGACGGGTCTCAAGGCTGGCGAAAGGTTTGACATCTACGGCAAGTCAAAGGACTGTATTGGGGGTCGTTATTTAAAATGTGATGATAGAGATGAAGGGGTGTGCGTCGGTGGAGGTCTTTTGAATTACATTTACCGTGTTATACCTGCAGGTAATAATAATAGCCTTTATGTACAAGTTTTGTACTCTGCACCAAATTCTTGACTATCTCAGTTTGCTGCGAGTGCGACGATAACCTTTAAACGCTTGTTTTTGTGAAGAATTTACGACCTTTCCCTCTGTTTTCAATATTTCACAAATATTAAGAGACGTTTTACCCTAATTTTAACTAAAGTTGATTTTAGTGGTCTTTTAGAGGGCTAACAAATATTTCAAGAGTGTTGCTGCGCTCTTTGATCCCATTTTAAGCACTCAGGTTGAATACCAAGAGCCTCCTCGTAGTTGTTTCATTTTAGCCATTGCTTTCGGCCTAATTTCTGTAAAATTTATTAATAGCATGCATGTGTGCCGCCTACTTACAGAGGAAGCTACAGCTATACAGAGGTGGAAAATATCAAACAAGCAAAATTTTGTCATTTTTATTTGACAGGAAGCGGAAGTGGAATAGGACCATTGCCTGATTGAGGGACACTGCGAACTTCATTTCTAAAATGCTAGTAATAAATGAAAGTTTCGGAATATGAGTCATTTGTGTGGTATTTAATCATTATAAAAAATAGACAGAAAGAAAAAATAATTTGCCTTAAAGCAATATTTAGTAATTCAAGAGTATTTGTTTATGGTTAAGCTGCATTTGTCGCCTTCTGCCACTCAGAAAACAAGGATGTCGGCCCAGAAACAAACCGCCTCACCTAACACTTCATATCGGTTGATTCATTTTCCATAGACCACTTTCACTTCTGAAAGAAATCACAATGAAATTGATCCAACTTTGTTACAAACGATGGTCGCAGGAAAAATTGCACAGTTACCTTTCATATGACTGTGGCCTGAAATGTGTCTTGAATGAAAAATGACAAAAATCATACCTATTAGTTTATGTAAATTATCCGATTGTCGGAGTTCAAATTTTGTAGGCCGGGACACGTTTATTTATAAGACGTGGAGTCCTTAATTTGGGTTTGTATAGTATAATGGTGCTATCTCAAAATGCATATTGATCTCACAAACAGAGCACGAGAACTTAAAACCACTATTTCTTTGAGCTTTAATTAGGTACTGAAAACTTGAGATGGTCGTGTTTATTTGACTCCGTGCGCGCAGCCAATAATAAAATGATTATAGATTTTTTAAGTAACTGATTTTTTTTCGCTTAGCACTTGGAAATAAATTTCATCAAGATACAAAGAATTATTTTGCCATATCTTTCACCGTCTCGCTCACAGAACTGAATTAAACAACAAAAAGCAAGAATCATTGTCTATAAAATTTTTCTCCGCGCAAGGAAGCAAATGTTGATAATTGGTTCGTCAATGTGTGAAAAGTCTTTTATTGTGATGTTAATCACCACAGTTTTGTGACAACCAAACTTAGCGGCATTTGAGTCAAGTTTGGTAAACGCAAACGGATATCATCGTTAAGCAGACTTTAAAATCGTTGAACTTAATTTCAAGTAAGTATGAAATTTTGTTTCAAAAAAATCTTATTTTTTGAAATAAGGCTGTATCTTTGTTAACCTCGACGATGATATCGCAGTGTCTGACTCGTTAACACTTGGCCCAGTTTGCTTCTTCAGTCATATTAATTTTAGAGGGAAAATATATCAGTGCAATATATCATCGTTGATTTTGAATAAAAACACCATATACACGAAGTCAACCACTTCGCTTATAATTCAAATTTCTCATCGTTTTCGACGATAACTGTATCCTTAGAGTATATTAATTACCTTCCATTTCTATTGCTTTTAACTTCTTACATATGAAGAAAATAATCCCGAAATCCAATCTCTCGCTTGGCACAAAGATATGAGAACCTTTTACTGAGAAAACGCTTAAATTCTTATCAAACAATAGCTAAGTTAAAGTTTATTGCTTAGAATCTGTAGAGGATGAAGTATAGTTAATGCAAAATTTGATCTTTGACAATACGGTAACAACTTGAAATTAATGTCAGATATGAATTCAAATGCTTTTCCTTGTATCATACTTCTTAGGTATTTCGTTGCAGAGCTTTGGTAAAATGGTGAGGCTGTTTTTCCTTGCATTCTTGGTTTTCAGAACGTCATTTGCTCCAGGTAATCTGTGTATATTTTGTAATTTGCACTTATTACGTGTACAGTTCATCTCAGCACGATATTTACAAGTCGATCAAGGACCAGCATCAAAATTACGGATACAAGAACATTTAGATCCTAACATCATTTCCAACCGTATCATGCCCTTGCTTTCACCACTATCTCTCTCTTTACGTTGTTTTTACTCGGCTTTTGTTGTTCTGCATTATTACGACATTAAGCGAGGGGAAAGGAAGAGGTCTTTATTCGATTTGAGGTGTGATGAATGATTAGTAAAGAAACCCCTTCAGGTAGCTAGTATGTCGACTTATAATGTGCGCGGCGAAAAATTGTCCGGAAAATGAATATTTGGCAGAGAAGCGAGATTTCAAGGGCAAATGTGAAACTGCGAGGACAATCTTTCAGCCAAGGGCATTATTAGCCGACACACCAGTAAGCCACACGGGGTTAAATATATCTTATTAACTAAGCGCGAGGGCCGTACTGGGAGAATATCGGCCCGAGGTCTTGACAGTACGGACCTCGCTGCGCTCGGTCCGTACAAAAAAGAACGAGAGCCAATATTCTTCCAGTACGGTCCCGAGCAAGCTTGGTTAATAAGATATATTATTATACGACTGAAGTTCGAAGGGACACAAGTGCGGTATCATTCGGGACCATTCGGGACAGTGCCCGGTCCAATACTTAGAGAATATTGGACCGGCAATAGAGCATTTTGATTGGTTGATTTTAGTTATTGGCCCTCTGACTGCCCGAGTCGTGTAATAATATCTCTTATAACCTTCTCATTCATTTCAATGCGTATCGCTCGTTGACAAAATACTTTTGTTGACTTTTTGGCACTTTCCGGAGCAGCATCTGAGATCTGCTTTTTGAAACCACGCTATGTAAAGCCAATAGATTCACGCGGAATTAATAAGTGGGTTATAAGGTGTGATAAATTGTGATGACAGCAATTCTCGAATTGTGCCTTAAAACTGATTACCCGAAATCAAAATTTTTTGGCGATTGCCACTGTCGAGCAATATAGAATAAACCTAATAATCGTAGCTCTATTGACATTACTTCAAGTTACATAAGCTTAAAGTGGAAAATAGCGGATATGCTGCGATGCAGAGATATAATTTTGTGTAGGCGACTTTGCGTTTTTCATTCACCCGAGTCCTACTCATATATGGGGAGAATCCTGTTGTTGTTAACTTGGCAGATTGAACAAAATTTTTTTTTTTTTCTTTTTTTTGCGTTTTTCATTCACCCGAGTCCTACTCATATATGGGGAGAATCCTGTTGTTGCTAACTTGGCAGATTGAACAAAATTTTTCCTTCAATGAGTTTCAAACTAACTGATTTGCCTCGACCGATTTGTTCCTTTTGGTGACTAGTACATGGTCAGCATGTCACATGCGAGCGATCATTCTACAAGTTAGGATGCTTCCAGGACAGGACTTGGTACAGATCCATGTCTAAACTGCTTATTAATGACCGCAGCAAGTCATCTCAAAGTCAACAAATCGACTGGACAAACTGGGATGCTTACGTGCACGGGTTTGTAAAGTACATGAATAACAGTAACTTAATATGAAAGTATGAAAGCATCATTATCATAACTTATTTTTGAGATGGTAATGCACTCTAGCTATATTGTTTATGTGTGAATGAGGGCGCGCGTTTGCACTCAAGTTTTCGAGTATCTATGTATGTATGTTATGTATTAAAATGCCCTCTAAGCTTGAAAACACTCTTGCAACCCTTAATTGCTTGAAGTAAACCTTGCTTTTTTTAATTGCTGACAGACAATGGATATTTCATTTAAAGTTATATTTCTCAGAGTCCTCAGGACGAGTTGATTTGCCTGCACACGGGTTTAAATATGAAATTTTATTTCTAAACTTGACCGATAAAAATAATAATTTCCCAGCCTCGCCTGCCGTTGTGCCCAGTCTGCCTCTCAGCATGGATTCACCATGTTTGGACTCCAGCATTATGGAGAATGTTGGTCGGGCCCAGAGTCATGTGACCAGTATTCTCTTTATGGAGATTCCGAAATGTGCATCGGTAAGAACTTCACGATGTGTAATGTCAATGATGAAGGCGAGTGCGTTGGGAAAGCCAACGCCAACTTCGTGTACCTCTTGCTAGAAGGTGAGTTGAAACAATAAATAGGGATTCGTGATCTACTCATGCAGTTGCTATTTATGACTTATCACTTGATTGAATCCATCTTCAACAGTTTGGCTCCATGCTTTGACTATTGTTAAACTTCGTGTTCTATTAAGCTCGAACTATTATAACCACGCCCTTATTTTTTGTTAGAAACAACAGTGTTACCTGGAAGGCTTTGAGACTCATGAAATTATATTATGAAATCAGATCGATTTTGGTGCCGTCATCTCATTGGACGATACTTGAGGTGTACAATTTGAAATGAAGTAAATTTCTTTTCTGCAATTTCTAGTTTTGCAACTCACCTGAGAGGATTCTGGCTTTATTTGATTTTCAATCGCCAGGTCAAATGGACTTTATTTTATAACAAATTGTGATCAGATTCCTTCACGGGAAAAAAAAGAATCTTCTCAGTTCAGTCGACAGTAACACCCAATTAGTATCTGGGGTACGAGTTCGTATATCGTCGAACCTCAATTTGTTTTTTTACCGGCCTCGTTTTTGCAATTGCTAAGTTGCAGCTAACCTTTCAGGATCATTGTTATATTTCACTTATACAAGCTAATAGGCAAAAAGGCAATTTTATTACATTTTTATAAATCTCTCTTCTGAGTCTTTTTCATTTCACATCAGTATCTTTCACAGTGTTACCTATGTGTTCATTTCAGAACCAGAGAAGGAAGTGGGCATCTAATAAAGGAGGAAACTTCTTCACGTTCTTAAATATAGTAACAGCTAAAGTTTTCTCAGAGCTGTAATCGAAGGAATCCCATTAAAGATAAGTTGCACTTTATACGTTGTAGATGTATTGCGGGACTCCACGATAGCCATCATGTGATACCGTGGGCCCGTTTCTCGAAAGTCCCGGTAACTTAACGGGCCCGTAAAGCTGTTCTGTTTTCATTCAAGATGGTGATTTCAAAAGTTTTGAAAATGACACAATAAAACTATCCGCTAAAGAAACAAAAAGGACTGGTTTGGTTGCCAGAACCTGCCTTCCTATCCTTTAAATTTTGATTTTAAAACATGGCTTTGGGCCCGTTAAGTTACCGGCACTTTCGAGAAACGAGCGCCGTGACCGAAGATGAACGACCCAATTTATATTTTTGTAAAAATGTGAAACAAGCTAGCCTGTTTCACATTTTTCATCAGTCGTTTCCTTCATTAGAAGCCGTTTATCATTTTCAAAAGAAAAGCGTGGCTCAAGTTCGTAACATATCTATATATCTAATGCCTAAAACCTAACATTTTTACCTACTACATTTTGCATTCTTTGCTGTTTTAGTAATCTGCTTCATGTCACAGCATGCATATGAGATGGTACCCTTGACTGTTTCCTGTGCTTAAGTATGTGTATGTGTGGTCTAAAAGCTTTATGCACGAAGAAAAGACGGTTTGCCGCGCTCAGAGACAGAATTCGTAAGGAAAGACCTGTTTGAATAGCAATGTTTGGGTGGTCCTCGCATGGGGTAATTAAAAATGATGTATTAGGGAGGGGGGAGGGGGCAGTATTAAGGCTTTTTTGAAAGAAATAGTTTTTGAGTTTGATTCTCTATTGCTATCATTGCGCTATAGTTTATTTAAACGGTGCTTTAGGTGGTTTGGCTTTTGATCCTTCGCTTTTTCAATTTCGTCTTTCTTGTAAAAAGGATCTCTTTCGCTAACCTCATAGGTATCTTGTTTTTCTTTGCGCCTTGAAAATAATAAGAAGAAAAAAGCACAATCAGCGCTTTTTGTTGACAATACCTTCGATAAAGGAATGTTTGTGCAATCAGCTGTGTTTGTTAACAGTTATTTTGATGCAAATTATTATCTTTAGCGTATATTAAGGTGTAATAATGTTTAAAGACCTTTATTACGGTGGCTCGTACCGGTTTTGATCTTTTTGATGGTTTGTAACTTTGAAAGAATACAACAGAAAGACTGACCAAGGCCAGTTGAACAATTTTACGGGGTTGAGTTATATAATCATTGGTTATCCAAAAATAGGTGTCATTTCGTCACTAGCGGTTTCCATGGCAACGCTTTCAGAGGCTTATTCAGACGCATTTTTTAGCTTGTGGCTTAAATAATTCGAAAACTAACCCGCGCCGGTGACCCCGTGATTTTTTTCAGTTATTGCTTTTGGCACTTGAAAAGGAAAATGCACAAATATTTTTAAAAATTATATGGAGCGAAATTTCAGAAAATCTAGAAAAAAGGCAATTTTCACACATCGCAAATTTCCTTCCGTAGAATTTTCTATTTTTTTTCTGATGATTCCTTTCGACGTTATTATCATATTGGAACAATAAAAAGAAAGGGTCACCGAACTTGTTTTCATGCAATAGCTTTCGTGAGTTTAGCAATTTCCACGCGCGTTCTCGCGCATTTAAAAATCTGGATTCTATAAGATCGACATTTGCTCATGATCTGTTATAGCTACCGCTGACGATTGCGTGTGCTCGCGCGAGCACCTACGATCTGATGTTTACAGACGTTTACTGCTAAGAAAATCATTAAACAGCTGTCAAAGATAGCCTCCCGGGCTCATCTTAAAAATCCTACACACAACTTCTGGCTATATCATACTATTTTCCTTTAAGTTTCAAAGTCTTCTTCCACTTCAAGTAGATTATCCTTCACTTGAGTTCTTCTTTTTTCGCCGTCGCAAGACTTCATATCAGTTGAATATTTTTTTGAAATGTGAAGTGATGCAACCTTTACATCTCCGAAAATCATCTTCTTAATCTTAGTTTCTTTCTCCTGCATTCACAGTGGCCGCTCAACACATCAAATACAAGCTCTTAGGTAAACTTCTCACATAAGTAGAAAAAAATCGTTGCGCCGCCATCTTTGTTTTAAATTTTGGTCTTTTATCTCGCGCTTCTTTCGCACGTTTCTCTCGCGCGTGACGCAAGAGTTATCTGTTCCCGCGCGAGGAAACTAGTACGAGCCACCTTAAAATCCCGGCCAAAATTTAAAAGACAAATTTTAAACAGGAGAACAACTCTCAGAGAAAAAAGTGAATAATTCATTCCTAAAAATTTCGTGATGCTGAAATTAACTTTATTGATGAATAAAAGTCTCTATTTCCTCGTACTAAGAGATATGAAGCTATAACGCACTTAATATGTAAAAGTTCAAAGTGTAAATTTTTTGCCTGAAACATCAGCTGTACGTGATGTACACTTAAAGGATTCTTTGCTTGCTATGGTATGAATTACCAGTACATTAAAATATCAATTTTACTCGTTTTGATCTTCAAGGCGGTTTTTTAGAAGGATTTCTTAGTTATCCCTATACTAGTTACTGGGTTGAGGGCGGCAGAGCTGTATACTCACATTGTGTTGGATGAGCAGGTGCCACATGCTCTCTTACACATCATGTTTATGGTTCCTATGCTGGCTGTCGGAGCATACTCACTGCAAAAACCACGTGACGCATAGTCGTTGCAGTCATCTGAGTAGTCCTTGCAGTCTATAATTACAAAAGTAAATCACACATCTTTTATTGTGCTCCAAATAAAGCTACCTCCGCTTTGAAAGGGTATAGATAGTTATAACTGAGCGCACACTGGATTATTCAAAGGTCATTCTATCAAATGTGTGCTGAAAGGGTGGCCGTTGAGTTTATAGAGCCATTTGATAAGCGATCAGCAATTTCCGTCATAAACCAGGCCGGTTTAAACTGTGCGATAAACGAAGTCGCACGCTTATCAGGCGGGCAATGAATATTCGAATACCAAGCGGCAACAAATGATACTTGATTATCTGAAGCCTGAGAGCCAGCAGTGAGTCCAAAACTCTTAGAGAAATTCCCTTGCCCTAGAACTTTTGTTCACATGTCAACTGAACTGATCTTAAGTTATTGATAATTCCTTATGTTTTCTTCGGAATACTTACCATTGTCTTCTACGGTCATTTTGCTGTCATCGAATTTGTATTCACCATAATAATCTGTGTCAGGATTTGCCGTAGGGTGTACGTCATCATTCCTGTTGCTAAACGTGTCAGCGCGGTAGCTTTGCTCATAATGTCTTTCTTGGTCCTTAGTTGGTCCGGCTAGCTTAAATTGCTTGACTTCATAATCTCCACTGATTTTGGCAATAGGCCGTTTTCTTTTTGAATGTCTCCGTTGGTCATTACCAAGTTGAACTTGTATTTTATCATGCTTATGATGATGATGATGGTGACGCTTGTAGCCCTCTTCCACTTCATCGTCATCTTGGAATTCACTCGGACAGTAATCACATAGTTCCTGATGCCCTATAACACACGTACACCTTCTTTACATGCATTAAAAAATAATAATTTACCTATAAGAACCTTCATTATAATGTTCTTATCAAACTCACCGTCAAAGCAGGGCCGACAGAAGTGAACAGAAATACCTGTTAAAGAAAGTGAAAATTTCGTAAGAATCGGTTGAAACGAGGAATTTTTAAATCTCTTTCTGGAATTTCGTCTTAATTATTAACAGACGTTTGAACCCATCAGTCTTCATCAGTGTAGTTTGTCACGTGGTAGATCACTATCACGTCAAGATCCTAGATAAAGAACGAGACTGGCGAAAGAGGGGGATAAAAGAAGCGATATTGGAAAGAGTGGAGGACCCAGCCCTGAACAGAAAGAGGGGCTCCGGTTCTCTCTGTCTCACACTTGGGACGGGCCCTCGTCTCCGTCCCCCGACGTTTGTCACGTGATAGTGATCTACCACGTGACAAACTACTCTGACGAAGACTGATGGGTTCAGTCGAAACGTCTGTTAATGATTAAGACCAAAATTCCAGAAAAAGATTTAAAAATTCCTCATTTGAATTGAACCTGGATGAATAACAGTATTCACTTTCCATCGGTTGAAACGTCGCAAACCACAATGGAAATAACCTCAGCATGAGATAAGCAATTATCAGTGTTTTTCTGACCTTTCAGAATCTTGGTAACGACTTGTTGCGCAGTTCGCCCCATTTGTGAGTAATCACCCCTGAAAATGTGTTCACTGTGTGGAAAGCTTGCCATTGCGTGGAGCTGTAATTTACTGTAAAGGTTCCCAATACCCACGCAAAACATTTCCACTCCATACGACCTGATGTCCATAGACGGCGTAATAACATCATCAATAGATCTCCCAGCAGCAAGAAGAACAATGGCCCTCGGCACATGTCCCCTTCCTGAGGCACTGAAGAGGTATTGCTTTGCAACGTGCAAACCACGCCCTATGTATGTTCCTGGGCCATCTGTTCCAGGATATTGCACAGACGATAACGCTTGGTCGATGTTTTGTATGTCAAAGTATGTGTGAAAGTTAAAGATGACGAAAGCCTCGAGAGAAAATACAACAACTCCAACGCGAGTCATGTCGTGATGGATGGAGAATGAATGCGATACGGCACTGACGAACTTGAGTAACTGTTGGAAGTTTTGCTCATTTCCTACAGCTGAAGATCCATCGATCAAGAACGCCAAGTCCAAAATGACTGTAGAAGATAACACACGAGAAGATTCAATCCATCACTCAAGACTCTTATTTTTAGATATTTATATTACAATAATCAATTCATGGATTACAGGTGATGTTACATGCTCACCTTCCATTCCTCTTGCTCCTCCTACGCTTCCTGCTCCAGCTCCACCCATATTGGCTCCACCGATGCCTCCCCCGACGCCTACTCCACCGCCGCCAGTTCCAATACCACCCATACCCCCACTCATTCCACCGACACCTCCCCCTACCCCTCCCCCGGCACCAACTCCTCCAATGTTTCCGCCAATGCTTCCCTCGCCTCCACCAACACCTCCTACTCCAACGTTTCCACCACCAACCCCAACCCCTCCACCTATGTTCCCACCGGCACCGGTCACACCTCCGATACCTCCTCCTATACCCCCTCCTACCCCTCCCATGTTTCCACCAGCACCACCTCCTACCATTCCACCACCACCTGTCATCCCGCCGCCCCCAACCATTCCACCAACCGTCATCCCGCCGCCTCCGACCATTCCACCACCCGTCATCCCGCCGCCTCCGATTGTTCCACCACCCGTCATCCCGCCGCCTCCGACCATGCCACCACCCATTATTCCACCGCCTCCAGCTATTCCACCAGCTCCAACAGCACCGCCGCCTCCAACCATTCCACCAGCTCCAACACCGCCGCCTCCTCCAGTCATACCACCAGCTCCAGCGCCAAGTCCACCTCCCATATTTCCCCCTCCCACTCCAAGATTTGTTCCGCCTGTTCCCACAATGCCCCCCGCGCCCCCGATGCCACCTCCAGTACTTCCTCCTATCCCACCAGTAACTCCTGTTGACGCTCCTTGGGGAATTGAAAACAAAATAAGAACAACTATTTGAACAGCTGTTTAGGAACAGAAACTTCTAAGGACCAAATGTTTTGTTGATTTCTAGTTAACAACTTTTATAAATTACTAGGAAACTACGAGGAAAACGACTTTGCTTCAAATTAAAACTAATTCAAGTACTGAACCTGAAGAAATCGCTCCTAAATGTAATCTATGTGAGCTAAACGAAAGGATAGCCTTTCCCTCCTGCATAAATTCAAATGTTTCTTTTAGCGAATTTAAACAAGCGAAGTACAGCACGTTAATTGCATATCAGTGAGAATGAGGTCAACGTCGTGTTAATTTGTAACCGTAGCAATATCCTCTTTAATATGCGCAAATCACTATTTCGTGAGGATCGGATTTTCTTTTATAAATACAAGGTTACCTTTATTTAATGTTATAAGTATCGCTTGGTTTATGGGTGTAAGCAAATATGCATTGATTTTCATGGCTTATGATAAAGTAAATAGTTAGCTTTTTTAGTTACATCGGAGCTCACTCAACAGCAAACGCCAGCACAACAAATTTATGCGTATTTAGATTTACAATGCACTTTAATTATATATTAGTTTTCCTTCTAGAAATGCTGATAGAAAAACATTCAAGGATTAATAAGCGAGTGTGTTGATGCTTTATAGAAATAAAATGAAGAAAGTATTTGGGGCTCTTTCTGCTTGCATTAGTAAAAGGTACATGAAGGCCAGATTTTGCACTAGCGGTCCAAGGTAACCATTGATGTTATAATATAAGTTAGAAGCAGCAGCAGAGTTAAAAAAAAAAAAAACTTTTGGCATCTTGCATCTTGTTCTGAAGTCAAATAGAAAAGAGTCTCATGTCTGTTATGCCCGGTATGTTAGAGCCTTTTCTTGTCAACCACCATGCAATCATCGCTTTGAGAGTCCATGCGCATGCTTCTCTCACCATCTAATCTTACCATTATCACCCATTTCATCGATGCCCTCTGCAGGAAGACTGGTGCCAACTGCATGAATGGTACCTGGTGGCGATTCAACACCAACTCCCGCCGGCGTTGTAGAGCCAAATCTTTGATTAGAGGGTGTAAGGGGAGGTGGATTTGGTGCAATCACAGCTGGAGGGGGCATTCCAGTTCCAACTGCGTGCTGTGTTCCAGGTGCAGACTCGATTACCATGCCTGTTGGTGAACTCGATGCCTCATTTTTAGTTGGTAAACTTTCTATTCCCTGAGAGCAATCCCTTCCACCTGGCAAATGAAGATTTTCTGGAACTCGAGCACCTGTAGTGTGCAACAGGTCTGGTTCGGGCCCACCTCCGAGGCATTGCGGACCAGTTTGTTCCATTGCAGGTGGTTCAACATTGATGACTGCTCCTGCGTTGTTGTTCATTTCGGCTGTATCCACCCCTTTTATCGTCCCAGGGGGAGATTCTACGGTGGTGCCAGCTGCAGTAGTGGATGCCATATCTGATGATGAGATAATTTTCTGGCTGCTCGTTGGCTTAAACTCCTCTGATTCCTTTTGTTTCAGTGCGTCTTTTATGTCGCTTCCAAGTAACTTGGTCAAAAGAACTTTCATGAGGCCATCCGTTTGAGGCCCTTTGCTTTCCGTCATTATAGAAACCCCCGCTGTATTTACCTCTGTTCCATTTTTGTTTTCTTTGTTGCTCGTTGCCTGTATACGTAGCTTATCAAGGTTTTCCTTGTCTTTGACCGTATTCTGTGGCCTGACATGCAAATGGTCATCTTTTACTTTCCCATCATTTAAACTTATAAGAACGTTGTTCTCTTTATCACCATTATTTTCATCCAGTGAAGGATCTGCTTTTCGTGATGTATCGTCGATATCCTTTAAAACTTCTTGAAGAGAAATGTTTTCAGAAGGCTGAGTAACAGACTCTTCCTTGTTATTTTTGTCACCATCCAGCTGAATACCTATTCTAATTGGATTCAACTTCGCCTCCAAGAGCACTTTCGAATTTGTTTTGCCTTGCTGATTATCTGGCTTTTGCGTTGATAAATCAGCATCCCCTTTTTGTAGTGGTACGTGTTCACTGCTTTCATTTGAAGAATGCCTATCAAATGTAATTGGCTTGCCGCCATACAAGTCGTTAAGCGAGCCGTCCTTTTCACTCGAACCCTTACCGTTTACTTGAAAAGAAAGGGGAATGTTTGCTCCCCTCATGATATCTAGAGATTTGTCGCGGGCATTAGCTCCTTTTTCGAGCATATTTTCCTGTTTTAAATCATTGGCTACAGATAGCACTTTGGATGTCTCGTCACTTTGGTTTCGACCATGTTTTACAACTGTTATCCGAAGGACCGTGTATTTTCTCGCGTCTGGATATTTCAAAGAGTTGTTTGCAATGGTTACATTCACCTTTCCCCTGTCAAATATTTGTGTTTCTTTTCCACTGGATATCGATCTGTTGCTTTCGATAGAGTATACTGCGGATCTTCGTCGTTTTCTTATCTCAGCCGTGGTATCACCTATAGGTGGGTGCCATTTGCCAGGAGAAATATTTTTCAAAAGACATACATGTCTACGTCCTTTCGACTTCTCTAATTGTTATCGTAAGGTAAAGCCACTGATATTAATTCAGGAGTAACTTGAAGATGTGAATGTCAGCCGTCAGTCATTCTTCTGTAACTATTCTTGATGACTTTTAATCTGAATATAACGGACTTTAACGCTTCTACGCTAAGGTTTCATAAAAAGGTTACCTTGGCCAAGGTTTTGTGTTCCGCAAATAGGCGCTAACGGCTGACATCCACAGAGGTGAGGCAGATGAAGTGGTCTTACAGAGCAACCAGGACCTACACCTCCTACTCCTGCATAATAGAATTAGAATTTGATAGCTAGTTTTGGTGCAGCGTGTAGGCTCCGGATCTCAAAACATGATTCGTTCATTATTTCTCATCTTAGATGGTGGTTGAATGTATCACGCAAGTTGCAATGAGAGTTTAATGATTGATGACAGGCATACATCGACTTGCTAGAGTCACGTACACGGTAAAAAGTGACGATTCGTGTATCGGGGATCCGGATTTACATGCAGGCAGTGCCGAAACTCAATGTATCGTAAAATGTTATTCTCTCTCTTAAAAATAGACTACATTTACGATAGTTAAGTTTCTAACACATCGAAAAAAGTGAGCATTGAATGGCTTTTTGATCAAATATCGTTAACCATTTCCATTTCATGAATTAATCCTACGACTTACTCTTTAAATAATCCAAGGATGAGTTATAGCGAGGCTTAGTGTTAAGTTACCTAAACAGGTCTACTGATACCCAAAAATACATACACAGGGTCGATGCTCTCTGAAAGGTTTTAGCTTGCCAGATTTTTCATAAATATCGCTTAGTCTTCATAGATGAATAGGATCGTTGATGAAGGGAACAAGCAACTGCTTGATTAATTAAAAGCTGCCTGGTTTTTATTTGTGACAACAATACAGTGCTATTTGCCCATGGTTGATTAATTTGAACTACAATAAGCCTATATGAAAATCAGTAAGAAAGCAGGGCTACAAAAGGATCAACTTGAATGGAACTTTGTAAGCCTTTTTTCTTGAAAGATTGAAACAGTTGCTCAACTCACCTCCTCCTCCACCCATTCCACCTCCGACTGTCCCTGTGGAGCCGCCGACACCCATTCCACCTCCGACTGTCCCTGTGGAGCCTCCGACACCCATTCCACCAACTCCTCCTGCAACACCTCCTAGTAGTAAAATTACATAGCGTACCATGCCGTCTTTTTCTTAAGATGCAAAAATTTTTCTTGTTTTTATATTTTTAAAGTGTGAAAATAACCATTAGACATAACGAAACGAACATTAGTTTAAGTTATGGAAGAAAAAGGAGTCATGGAAGAAAATCAGGCTTTGACAAAAACTGATTCAGTGTCTCCGAACTACCGGTTGGACGTCAATATGCCAACTGGGATACAACAACAAATGTTGTGAAGGAGGCAAATCTTGATGGATTCTCTGCTCCCTGTTGAAGAAACTTATCGGAAATATTTCAAATGAACAAAATATCTTTTGATTAGTGAACGAAAAAGCGGTCTGATTATCTCAAGTTGAGTGAACTAAGAGCTCTTCACTTCTCGAAAGGGATTGAAACCTTGTCTGGAATACTATGCATCCTGAACTTACCTCCTCCCCCTATTGTCGCTCCACCTGCTCCAGTGGACCCTCCAACGCCCATTCCTCCAGCTCCACCAGCCATCCCTCCTGTTTAAAGAAATGACAGTTTTGATTATCACTATTTACCAATAGCCACTAAAATATTAATTCAGACATGACTAAATATATACACAATTACTTATTTAGATATTCGGTTCAAGTTCCCTTTCCGTAAAGTCTGTCGTATGAAAGGAAGCAGTTTAAAAAGTTGGTGTGGTAATTTTTGACGGTTTAAACTTTTTAGGTCAAAATCAGAACGTCATAAAAATGTCAGTGCATTTCAACAAACCTCATGTGGATGTGAATATTTGAAAATCATGTGCATGAAATTCATATAGAGTGATCTGCGCAGTAGTGAACACTACTTAAACAGTAGAGAAAATAAAGCCTGCACGGGAGTTGAACCCATGACCTCTGCAATACTGGTACCATAGTCACAGTAATTTACTAATGCAGTTCACGCATATGATCATGATGACGTATTCATTATTGCGAAGATCACTCTCAAATTTGAACCTTAGAGAGGCATGAAATTCATGTGCGATGCTACCAAAACCCATATCACTATACCCAGAACATTAAAAAAAGGTTAACCCTAGATGAACACAATCACTTCTATAGGTTTCACCTTAAATTCTAAGGCATCTGTCTTAAAATGGTTTTGTGCTAGCCAATTTACCTGAAACTCCTCCAGAGGCTCCAGCAGCCCCTGCTCCTCCTGCAACCCCTCCAGCTTTATTGAATGCCAAAATGAAAGATATTGTTAATAAGGGACGTATCTATCACTCACTTTATGTGTCTTTAAGTTTAGTAAAATTGATCGTTATGTTTATAGATTCCTCCCACACCAAATGCCAGAGTGAAAGTAGCTTACACGCTGTTTTTCAAACGCTCGATGACAATAAAGGTGTGACTTTGCTCCCCCCAGCAGTGCGTCATTCGACTGTACTGTAGTGTAAAACTATGAAATGCAATATGTTGCATAGAAGTGTCTGTGATGTCTGGGTTAGCCATGTAAAGTCACGATAAAGTTATATGTAATGTTCTGAAATAGTGTAAAATGTAACGTAAAGTAGCAGGGTTGTAAATTGTGCTTCCTCGTCGCAGATGCAGTTGTGTTCGGAGTTACACAAGCTGGATATTGCTGCTGGAGATTTGTCAGAAAATTAGACATAATGTATAAGCATTCGTGCATAGAAATTAGGATAGTTTTGCTTCAGACCTTCTATTCGTGTCAGTATAGGTAAAAGTGCAACGCAGGAACCTTTTCATAATTACTTTTAGTACTGGCAACGATGCTTTCATTTTGACTTTTCGTTTCCAGGGACTTCAAGAAAATTCGTTTTTATTTTTCCAACATTGAAGCATGAATTCAAACGTATGCTATAGTCATTCATTCTCCTCATGATTTTCTCGATATAATTTTCTCGATATGACGAACGAATGTTTCACATAGGCTACTAAAGCTCACTACATGCACCTTGAGCGAAAGAGTCACTGAGTGGGACTTCGTTCCATGGAAGAGATGAAGGGAAGAAACGAAAATCACAGAGAAGACAGAGAAAAGGATCATAGTTTTGTAAATGACGCTGAGAATGATGCAAAAGGTGGAACTAGAAATGAAACCAGGACAATGAATTGTAAGATTTCTCTGAAGTAAACCTTGATTCCGACTCCACCTCCAACCAGGATAGATCTAGAGAGATCTATGGCTGTTACAACTCCACCTTCCTTTGCTACAACGGTCATACCTGCACCTGTAAGGGAAACCCATTACTCCGTCTCCGAGAGGTATGTCTTTCGCGCAACCCTCACTTACTTCACCCAAGCTGCCTCTCATTCCACCAGTAATGCTCAAGATTAAAATGACAACCTAGTAGGTCCCATTCACACCGTCTGCTGATACGATAGTCATGCCCATTCCAGTAAGGAGCTATCATTAGGTATTAGGTCAAGAAACCCGCAGTTGTTCCTCTGCACTACCTGTATTTCCATTTCTTGTCCCTCATCCATCAAGGGCACCCACTCTCCTGCCTTCTCCAGGAAGAATCTCAAGGTACTTGCAGTAGTGTTATTGCCTAACCCAGTACGGGCTCCACCAGGTATGGATCCTGAGAAACCAAGAGTTATTTCTTCCTATTTTTGTTCTGTTCCAGCAATCATGCTTACCCCTGTGGTGGTAGTCTTACTGTTGCTTTCAGCAGAAATAGTCTGCGATCGTTCTACACTGAGAACCACTTACTACAAATCCCGAATATCCGCTCGCCATCTTGGCCACTGATTCTGCCATTCTACCCACCGTTTTGCCCATGGCTGCTTTTGTTAGGTTCCTTGAGTTTTTAATATTTGTAGGCCTTGAGAGACCTTCCAACAGTTTATTTGCTGTTTGGGTTATCATCTGATGATCTAACTAAGCACCAAGAAGTCTCTTGTGATAATAGTGGTATGAATAGTTATGTAACAGGTGTTTGAACTTTTTCTTTTTTGACCTGCCGCTCAAATTATCATATGTAAACTGTGACAATGCTTTGACCGTGCTATTTCTGTAGGAATTCAGGCGAGTACTTACGAATGATATAAATATCTTTTTCTTGCAGCATGGTTTATCAATGTAAAATGGACTTCCTTCCTCAGCCTTTACGCTATACTATGTTAGTAGATACAAAATGCACTTACCGGCATTTACCTGACCGAGCAGTGATAAAAACTGAATGGACAATGATACAAGGTGGCTGTAATCGGATGCTACTTGAATGTACGATTCCGAGTTAGCCATTGCTATTAGCTGAGTTCTGTCAATAGAACTTCCTATCCCGAGACAGAAAATTTTGACCCCAGAACTTTTCAAAGCTCCTGCTACGCTTGACACGTCATCCGTTGATCTTCCAGCGATTATCACCAACAGGACTCTGATAGCATTTTGACGTGATTGGGCGAATAATTGAGACTGACATGTACTTAAACCTTGACCTGCAGCACACGCTCCTCCAATCGTTTTCATTCCTTTAATAACTGCGTCAATTTCAGATGCTGAGTTGTATTTGCTGAAGTCAAACGACACCGAGGCGGACGCGCCAAACAAGACCAATCCTATGCGAAATTTCGTTGATGAAATGGTGACGCTGCTGTAGATTGCTCTAACGAAGCTTAGACACTGCTGGAAGTTTGTGTCGCTACCTACGCTGCTAGAGGCATCGAGCATGAAGGCCAGATCGACTGCTCCTTTAAAAAAGCATGTGAATTTGATTTATCACCACGCTGTTTTGAGGCCTTCGTTTACCAGCTTCTTCACTGAGAAGATACACTTTTCTGAAACTAATCTTCATATTTGTGCCACGTCATGATGTGCGAATTTTATCATTAGACATGAGAGAGTATCTGTTGTAGCTATCTACCGCGGCTTCTTCTTGTTATGTTGTCCCAAGAGTGGAAGTAGAAGCCGACTTGTTTGAAAGCTATGCTGACCTGTTTCGCAACCAGAGTTGCGAAATGGTGACCATTGAAAGCGATACCTCGAGTGCTATATATCTAGCAGCTTATTAATGCTACAAAACCAAGACCACCAAATACGTCCATCTTCTGACCAAATCACAGTTTTGATAGGTTCATAGAGTATTATCACAAAACTTTTGGGTCACGACTCACTTTCAACAGATAAAAATGATTCCAAAAGGATCTGGAAAATATTTCCAAAAGGATCTAGAAAATATTTCCATAAAAATCGCCCAGAAAATACAAATATCTTCGAAAGCTTTTTATTTCCTTTCTGTACGGCAAAAGAGAACAGTTCATTGAGAATATGATTTCACCATCAGTTTGTTTGAATTTTTAAGTCATGCATTTTTTCTACAGTAAGCTTCGTTTCATTTTGAGTATAATTTCAAGTCTGTTTGTGATGTCAAAAAATGTCTCGTATTGTAGTAATCTTGTCAAATGTATCTGTGGCTGTATGGCTAGCGCTAACGTCACAATCCGCCCCGTTGGCACACATACCCTGAACGGTATATTAGCCGATGCAGAGTGTGTGAAGCTCATTATAGCAATGTAGGTAGATTGACCAACCTGCTGCTCCTCCTGCTGCACCACCAGCTGCACCCCCAACTGCTCCCCCAACAGCTCCCCCTACTGCTCCGGCGGCTCCTCCAGCGGCTCCACCAGCAGCTCCATTAGCTGAAATCCCCCCGGCTAATTAAGGATAGAGAGAAATTGCAAATCTCTAAATCTGGGTTGGCAATGTAATGCTCTTGAAGCTGGCTTCACAATGTTTGAATCTGGTTGATTCGTTCTGTAGAGCTTTTAAGTCTAATAACTCGCATTTATTCAATATTCAGCATCAATTTAATGCACAGTACATCACCGCCTTTCCAACAAAACTAACCTTATTTTTTAATCGGTTTCTGGGAGACCCAGCTAACTTAGACACTGTTTTC